AAGATAAATTCCCCTTTCATTTAGCTTGGACCTGCCACCAGTAAAAATCTTTTTCCCGGGAGGAAGGTAGCGCTATATAAATACCAGGGGAAACCAGAGAAGTGGGGTCTGACCCTGCCTGCCACACACAAGAGAAAAAATAGCTTTGGTCTCTGAGGGATAGTTGCTGGTTACTCTGTAGATTGTCATGAGAAGAAATTACCCAAGCCAAAATGCAGTGACTGCATTTCTCCGGCAAAAGTTTCTTGTGTCATAAAAACAGCTGGCAGAGCTACAGCTTTGGGGAGCTGAATCCACTTCACTTTGTCTCCCTGAGCCACCATCGGAGGCAGGTAATAAACACCATTATTAAAGAATGAGTAATTTACTGCAGCTCTAGCACGGTGAATTTGTACAGCAGATCCCTGCTTTTGCATGGTTCCCAGCTCCTTCCTGCCCTCAGCCCAGCCTGCAGACATCACCATCACTTGCAGAGAAGTGACCAAGTACTCAGAAAAAAATCTGCCCTTAAAATCTCCCTCTACCACCTACAAGTTCCCTGAAGGAAGCCCCAAAAGGGCCAGTCCTGCCCAGTCCAGGAGCTTATGGCAGAGCAGTCTGTGGGCTCCTGGCATAGGCATGGGCACTTCAGACTATTTTGGGTTTTCTGCCCCCCTCACAGCCCCTCTGCTTGTGTTGGGACATACTCAAATCTTCCCAGGACCATCTTTGACCGCACAAGGTAGTCCAAAGCTCTGCTCTTTCTACTCTCCTTTTTCTGCCTGGTTTCTAAAGTTCTGGACCTGAGCTTGTGACTGGCAGATGCCGCTTGCAGGAGCTGCAACTCTATTGCTGCTTTCAGGGCCGTAATTTCAGGCAACATTTTCAGACAGAATTTCTCTATTTGTAGAGTTGGATATAGGCAAATGATTGGCTTTTCTGAGTGAAGGGACAAGTCACAGCATTAGAAAGGGAAAAAAATCATTACAGGTTTCCTTCAAATTGTCTTTCTGTGGCAGTTTCTCTGTCAAGTGAAAAAGGCAGCAAACCAAACACTTTGCTCAGCCTGGAAGGGAAGGCTACAATGATCCCCAGTGTTTCTTGGGTGCATCACTTAAACCAGCTTCCTTTTGGAGTAAAACACTTCAGGTGTATTTTGAAAACCAGAGTTCATTGCAGAATTTGTCCCCAAGCTGTGTGTCTGGAAGCTCAACAGCTGGTGTGAAAAATTGGCCCAAGGCACATCAGAGATTCAATGCCATGTGTGACAGCCACCATGATGCTACTCCTGAGCTGGGCAGAGGTTTCTCTGAAAATCCTTCCTGCTCTCCATGACTTCCATGGTGTCAGGGAAGGACAAGAGGGTCCCCACCTAGCAGTAACATGCTGTGAGGGAAACACCATGAGCAAAATGTCCTTGCTCAGCCCACGCAGGACCAACAGTGCAGCTCACCCAGTGCACAGCTGCCTCTTTCAATACATTGTGATGCTGGATGGGTGCAAGAAGCAAGCTGAGTCCTCTCTCAGGGGGATGGTGTCATGGGCTGGGAAGAGAAATGGGCCAGGGGGAAATGGAAAACAGCAAACGAAGGAGCAGTCCAGAGGGTGCCTCAGCAAGGCAACTTGACCAGGTCATGGAAAAGAAAATGTGATATTGTTTTGTAACAGCTTTGTTTCCATACTATATGGAAGAAAATTTAGCACTATCCTCTGCATCATCCTGAAGTCTGATACTGTGATGGACAAAGGTTGTGGGATGGCTGGAGGCAGCGCTCATTATATTCCTGACAATAGAATAAACCAGTGTGAGCTGCCCCTCCACAAATTCAGAGGGCACATCTCTGCTTGAGTATTCTTTGGCAGTATGGAATTTTGGAATATGGAAGGGACTCTCAGCATCTGGTTTGGATTGCACTTTTTGACCCTAGTAATAATTTTAACACCTTGAAGTTTGTCTGGGCCTGCAGATGTTTGCCAGATGGGGAGACAGCAATCCACTTATTTGCTGGACCAGGAAGTCATCTTCCTGCTGATAATTGGAAACTTAGGGTTTGGAAATATAAGATAGAAAGGTGTCATCTCCACAACTTAAGTTCATTTTTAAACAGAGTGCAGATCATTGGCAGGTAAATTAAACATCTGAACTACAGAGGAGTCTTGTGAATCCCCAGAAGAATCAGGACACAGTAAACAAGGTGGAAATAGCCCTGAGCTGGAGGCAGGGAGACATGGATAAAATAAACAGGGCAGTAGGGAAAGGAGGGTGCTGCATGCGCTAGTCTTCAGGGTGTTAATGAATCATTTGAGTACGGATATGTTCTAAACAGAGACAAATGAGCAGTCCTTAACAGACGCTTTACATTGCCAGCTTCGATTGATAAGAGGGGGATTTTCAGGGAGATGTGAGGATGAAGTTAGGTGCTGTGGCTAAGCCACTCTATCAGCAAGCCACAGCTGTGAGGGGGAGGACATCTTTCTGTGCCCCAAACAACTGCTGCTACCTTGAGTGCTATGTCCCTGTCCCCATTTTGGTCTTCAATGGTGCAAGTCTCTCACATGGAAGAAAGCCAGGTCCCATGTGCCCGACCCTGTCTGTGCAAGATGTTGAAGGGAGATCATCCCTGGGATGCAGACCTGCACATGGTCCCAGGCTGGGCTGCAGGGCAAAGGGGAGCATGGCTGGTCCTGGAGGGGAGCATGAGGCACAGGTCTGCTCCAGCACAGGGTATTGATGCTCTCAGAGTGGTCTCTGGGGAGGAGGGGGTGCAGGGTCCCATAGCAAAAACAGCCATGAATGGCCTGTGGGACCTCATGAGCAGAAGAGCCTTGAAGCAGAGATGATGGGACAGGAGAAAAGGGTATAGGTAAGACTGCCTACTTGGAGAAGAGCATGGAGCCATTTAGGATAACCATTGTGTTCAGTCCAATACTGGGTATAAATAGTGACAGAGAAAACCTGATGTGAAATCGAGGACTGTAGTCATTAGCAGAGGAAAATCAGCCATGAGCAAAATTACAATCTGCCAGCAAGAGCTTCTGTGCATCTTCCAGCAGCAGAGAGAATGTCTTGATAGTAAACACATCTTGAAGGACCTCTGTGAACAATCCAGTGGGATAGTTGTCCCTTTGGGCACTCTGACCAAGAAGCCTGATCTCGGGCAAGGAATTGGGCTGCCTTTGTGCTGGAAGCACTGGAGCACAGGTGTCAGTTTGTTTGGCACTCAGTGTCTCTGCACACATGGATTTTTCTAGGTTTTCTACATTGAGGGCAGAATGCCAACACCCCTCTCTCCAGAGAGCATTCTTAGTGTAATTCCTTAGGATGGTCCTGAGCTGAGGAAGAGAAGGTTGAAGCTCAGACCCAATCTGACTTCATGTTTCTCCACAACAGTGACTTAGATGCTGTAGCAGGCAGGGGAATTAATCTCCTCTGACCCTCGACTGGTATTTTTTGGCTCAGATGAGAAGTGAGAGCCCAACAGCTTTCAAAACTGTCTTCACTGGCTAATGCCTCATAAGGCTGGAGATGCTGACAGTCCCAGCAGCAACCACACCTGGGAGTCATTGCCCTGACCTCCACTGCCTCCCAGCAACCTTTCTGGGTCCCCATTCGGGAAAGTGAAGAAGCTTCTGGTGAGAGCAATCCATCAGTTTAGCTTGGTGTCATGTGCCACTTTAAAGCCCCTCACAGGGGCTTCTTGTTGAAGGTTTGTTTGGGTGCAAACTCATCAGGGGTGCTCTGAGGCTGAGAGGACTGTCCCAGTGTGGCTGTTGGAACCTTCTGAACTTGCCCGTCCCTGATCCTATCCTGGTCCACTTCCCTGACCCAGTGCTACCAGTCAGGTCACCCACTCTGCTCTGCCTCAGCTGGGCACCCTATGGCCGCTCTGCTGCCCTCCAGCTCCAGGCCAGCAGCAGGAGCAGCCCCCTGACGCTGCCCGCTCTCCTCTCTGGTCCCGGGTACGCAGGACAACCTGCAGAAATTTCCGACAGCCGCCTTATTTACTTGTTTGCGTCTCCAGCTTAAAAAAGGGCATGCCGAGAGAGTGCAAACCTGCTAATTATACACCTAGCCACCCACACCACCATGTGCTTTATTTCTATCACCATCCATGCTTCCTTCTTCCCGCATCGCCAACTCGATGAGCCCTTCCTGTACTTCTCGTGCCTGAGGGGCACGGCGAGGTGCATCCCGGCAGGCTTGGCCCCGGCGCCGTGCTCACTCTAGGCGAGCCAACGCAGCCATGGGCTGCCCGCCGATTTGGACACACAGGCACCGGACCCGGGCTTTGCCCGCAGGCGCCGTCCCGGCCCCGCGACGCTGAGGGTCGGGAGCGGCTGGGCCCCGCGGCCGGGGCGGTGTGGGCGGTGCGGGGCTGTGCGGGCTGTGCGGGGCTGTGCGGGACTGTTCGGGCGGTGCGGGGCTGTGCGGGCGGTGCGGGGCTGTGCGGGACTGTTCGGGCTGTGCGGGACTGTTCGGGCTGTGCGGGCTGTGCGGAGCTGTTCGGGCTGTGCGGGACTGTTCGGGCGGTGCGGGCGGTGCGGGACTGTTCGGGCTGTGCGGGGCGGTGCGGGCGGTGCGGGGCTGTTCGGGCGGTGCGGGACTGTTCGGGCTGTGCGGGACTGTTCGGGCTGTGCGGGGCTGTGCGGGGCTGTTCGGGACTGTTCGGGCTGTGCGGGGCTGTGCGGGCGGTGCGGGGCTGTTCGGGCTGTGCGGGCGGTGCAGGGCTGTGCGGGACTGTTCGGGCTGTGCGGGACTGTTCGGGCGGTACGGGCGGTGCGGGGCTGTTCGGGCGGTGCGGGGCGGTGCGGGGCTGTGCGGGCGGTGCGGGGCTGTTCGGGCTGTGCGGGCGGTGCAGGGCTGTGCGGGGCTGTGCGGGCAGTGCGGGACTGTTCGGGCTGTGCGGGCTGTCCGGGCTGTGCGGGGCTGTTCGGGCGGTGCGGGCGGTGCGGGGCTGTGCGGGACTGTGCGGGCAGTGCGGGGCGGTGCGGGACTGTGCGGGGCTGTTCGGGCTGTGTGGGCTGTTCGGGCGGTGCGGGCTGGCGGTGGGCGCTGCGTGGCGCTCCGGGGACACCTGGCGGCCGCCTGGCGAGCGCCGGACGCGGCCGAGGCGGGGACGCGACAACCACGACCACCCTGCCGGCGCCGCACAGCCGTGTGCAGGCACTCCCGGTGTGAAGCTGAGAGGTATGGGGATACCTCCTTGCGGGCGATGGAGGGTCTACTGATCCCCTGCTGATGTGGGCACGGGCAGTGTGCCCAGATAGCTGGCACCGGAGCTGGAGACCGGAAAGGGTGGGAGCCCCAGCCCCGGAGAGCCCCTGGAATGGCTTCTCCAAAACCAGTCCGCCTCTTACCTGCCAGCCCCAGGGATGGATTTGCTGCTCCCTACCATTAGGAGCAACACCTTAGTTCTGAGCATAGCGGGGCCAGAACACTGCTGCAGAGAAATATTTTTATCAGAGACAATAAAGACCCGATTTCCACCTGGAAATTGCCCAATTTGACTTGTGATCCTTGAAAAGCAGCCCATCGTGTCCCAATTCTCAGAGCAATTTAGTCTCTGTTGGAGCCAGCAGCCCTTTGGTACTGGCTTTCCACCTGTCAGGAGATGAGAACAAGCATTTTATTCACTCCTTTCCTGCTCTATCCAACCAGATGCATCAAAGGTGTGAATCAGATTCTCTACATCACAAATGCCTCAGCTATCCTCCCTCTAATACAAGTCCAGGCTTTGTGTCACCTTCTTCCTTCCCTCCTGGTCCTCACCAACTCTTTCCCCTCCAGCAGCTTCATAGTCCTTTTCTTCTCTGTGTTGGTGGCCAGGGTCCAGCTCTCTGTCTGGCTCAGATGTCACTTTGCTTCCCCTGCCACATGCTTCTTGCCCACCATTTGCCTTCCCACTGCTGTCCCTACTGTGCTCTTTTGTTTCTCTGTGTACCACCTCTGCCAGTCCCATTGGGGCCATCATGTCTCACCACCCTTCCCTCCTGCCCCACACTGAGACCTACCTCCCTCACATCACCCCTCTGACCTTTCCAGCCCCCAGGCAACCTCACCTGATGCTCGTGCCACAGCAACCTTTCCCAGGACTGGTGAAGGCTTTGTTACACCCCGGGGAAGAACAGCCCCTCAATCAACATGCTTGTGCTGTGCCCAAGCCAGAAGCAGTGGTGTCAGACGAGCACCCGTGGCAGCACTTCAGTGTTGGCTGGAGTCAAACTGCTTTCTGCAATCATGTCTGTGGGGCTGATGAAAGCACTTTCTCCTCCCCTCGAGCTGTGGTTCACCCTGCAGGGCTCAGGGCTGAGACATGCCAAGGATCCATGCTGCTGCACAGGCTTGTATGGGTGAGAGAGGGCTTGGTCCATTCCTGCCAGACATATGGTCCGTGAGCTCTCACAGCCCTTCCTTCACCCCCTTTCCAGAATGACAGCTGCTCAGGCAGTGCTGTGCCTTTGCTTCTCAGCAGCTTTTGTGAGATGGCTTTCTCTTCATCAGAATCACAAGCTTGGATGCCCTGAGGCAGAGGTACTGTGTCCTGACTGGACCTGGGCCTCTGCTTAAAAGGTCCAAAGCACATCCTGAGAGCTTCTAGGAAGGTCTGGGCTCAGGGACAAGTGCTCGACAAGTCTCCTATGCTTTCCTCTTCCATCAGGAGCGGGTCTGCATCTGTCCTGGGGCTATGGCAGCTGTACCTGGCCATGGTGCTGCTTAACATCAGCGGGATCGGGAACAGGCATTCACACTGTCCCCTGCCCTCAGACTAGCAGGAGATGGCAGTGCAGCAGAACACCAGTACCTGAGGGCACCGACCTCCCCTGGTGCTGTGCTGAAGAGGAAAGCCTTCAGCCAGGATGGGCTAACCTTCTCACTCTGGATTCTGGGGACATGCACCACAGCCACAACCTGCTAATGAGCCCGGGAAGCAAGGCAGAGTGTTTGCTTGACAGGGCAATTAAATGATGATTGATTCCTGGAACAGCTACTTAATTCATCATTAGCTGGTTTATCATAGCCGGCATCTGTGCCAAGAGTCCCTCTGAGAACTGCCTCAGGGGATGTGGTGTGGAGGTGAGATCTGTGAAATACAAAGCTAAATTTGCTACCTCTTTTTTTCATGCCTTATTTTTGGTTCATTTTACCCAGTACTCGCCTTAAGAAGCTGAGAGTACACAACACAGCTGTGCATTTCCCACTCTGCTGGGGACTGCTGCAACCAGGCTGGGGAGCGTGGGGGCCCGCTCAGCCAGCTGGTTACAGGAGCAGCCGTGCACAGGGGGAGGCAGTTCGGTAGGGAGCCAGCAGCTGTCAGGCAGCAGCAGAGCTGCAGCAATGGTTCAGCTCAGCTAGGGCACCGCAGTCTGCCTCCTCCCAGGTGTGCCCAGGTTGCGTGTGTATGCTTGTACATGTGCATCCCCCTGTGCACCTAGCAGCATGTCTGTGTGTGTGCATCCCCCATGCACCTAGCAGCATGTCTGTGTGTGTGCATCCCCCCCATGCACCTAGCAGCATGTCTGTGTGTGTGCATCCCCCCCATGCACCTAGCAGCATGTCTGTGTGTGCATCCCCCATGCACCTAGCAGCATGTCTGTGTGTGCATCCCCCTGTGCACCTAGCAGCATGTCTGTGTGTGTGCATCCCCCATGCACCTAGCAGCATGTCTGTGTGTGCATCCCCCCCATGCACCTAGCAGCATATCTGTGTGTGTGCATCCCCCCGTGCACCTAGCAGCATCTCACCACTGTTCCCTGCTGCCAGTACTGCCCAGACTAGCCCCATGGGGCTGATGGATATGCACACTATCCAGCTTTCTGATAATAAAGACAGAGAATCACCACTCTGACAATTTTGTCTTTTACTGCTTTCTTGCTTTCATTTTGTGACTACATTCCTCTTTCTCCAAGCTTTGTTATTAACAGACTTTCTTTATCATCAGGCTTGTTTTATTACTAGGTTTCCCTTTTTAAGTCCCTGTGTGACTAAGTTCCCTGTAGGATTCAGATAACCCAAATAGGGTTTGGGGACAGCTACAGGGCTGGTCTGACTCTCTCCTTCCCTGCACATGTGCATGCAGGGCTGGTCCTCACCCTCTCTGCCATTCCCTCTCTAATGTCATCTCTAGAGGCTTGATGGCCCTCGTCTACACCAGCAAACCCAGATCATTCAGTACATGGCCTCTATGTGATGTGCTGATCTTGGTGACTGTGGGAAGCATCTCTAATCCCTCTGGTACTGGAACCCTTTCGCTTCTTCACCATTATTGGAGTGGAAGGTTTCAGCCTGGCTGCTTTCAAGCAGGGCTGAGCACACTGCTGCAAGCGTGTTGTGACACTGGCCCTCACTGTCCCCTCCCCACTGCTGACAAATGCCAGGACTGGGCACAAAGGATGCAGTTGGTGGCTCCTTTGCTTATTTATCAGAAGCACTGTGAGATTTTTCTTCTGAACTTTTCCCCTTGTCCCTGCAGTCTCCCAGGGAGACCGTGAGCCCCAACTCCCAAGAGTGGAAGGCAGCAAGGATAAGATACTTTAGTACAGGTAAATCTTTTTTAATTCCAGAGAGTACAGGACTAGCACAGGCTAAATCCTTCTAGCTGTAGCCCTGTCCTGTCCATGCTTTGTGCAGCAGCTCCAAGATCCTGACTCTGCTCTAAGGACAGCTCCAGGACAATCTGAGGGACCAGAAAGGTTTGAGCTCACCCCACTTCCCTGTGATGAAGCCTCAGCCCTGCCCAGCCCACATTCACAGACTTCCCCATACTTCAGCAGTTTTTCCTGTGATTTCTTTCGATACCCACACTGTTACTTCCCAAGGTATGTTCACCCTAGGACGTTTGCTGCCTGCAAGCCCTCGCTGCCTCTTCCCCACAGCCCAGGTCAGTGAGACATCTCCCACTAGCCCTTCTAGCATCCTGTGGGACTCAGCAGTCTATGTCCAGCAACAGTCCAGCTGCATAGATGCACTCTTCCCACACTGGTTCCCTGGCATCTCCCAAACTGCCTTTTAGGTTTCCAATTCCTCCCAGCTCCTTTCCCTTCTTTCCCCCTCCCACTCTCTGTTTCCCAGCGCTTGCTGCTGTGAACATGTGGCTTTTCTCTGCAGCTCTGCTCCTTCTCCAACCTGTTGGTGAGGACCCAAAGTGAGAGCACAGCAACTTCCACACAGGCAGCACCTGCTGCCCAGAGGCCAGCAGCCTGCCCGAGGTCCATCTGCTGGTGTTTCTCAACACATTTGTAACTGACTGCCTTCAGTAGTTCTCAGCACGATCCCATTCCTTCCTACCCTAGGCTTGCTGCCAGAATCATGTCTTGAAATAAGGCGTGGATGCTGAACTAAAACTGTCAATTTTCTCTCGCTAGTGCTGGGCTCCTGCTTTGGCTGCTGCTCTCAAACAACACTTGGTGACTGGTCTCTCCTTACAGTTTTGTTAAAAAATAGGTTGTTTTATTAGAAATATAATTTGCATGTTAAGGTAAGCAAAGAAGAGGATTGTGGTTTCCTTGTCTGAAAATTGGGATGTAGCTTTGAGCTTCTCTGTGTCTGCAGAAAATAAAACCATGTTTGCTATAAATATGCATCTCCCTTAAATATTTTGAAAATTCTTAATGGCCATCTGCTGCACGAGCCACTACCAGCTTTATACGTAAGGTGGGGAACTGTGGAAGGCAGGAAAAGATTTTAGGAAGGGAGAAGTGAAGGGCATTCACCAAAATGCACAGTGTTTTAGCAGCATGAGAGGGCTTTTGAACAGTTCCATTTTCCTGAGCAGATTTCCAAAATGTGATGACTGCTGCCCAAACAAAGCCAATGGACAGGTCCATTTAAAACCATGTACAGCTCTCCATCTGCATGATGTTGTAGAGTTTGGCCAAGGAAACAGAACCACTTGGGCTTTTCAGTTTCTAAAGACTTCAGTTTCTCTATTTATATTTCCCTCTTGAGAGTTAAAGCCAAGGTGATGTGTTGTCTATCAGAAAACCTCAGGGATTCTTACAGCAGGAGGAAGTGTGACCCTACTGCACAGCATCCTGCAGAGGAGTCAGTGACCCAAGTCTCTAAGGGGAACAAGAACATTTGAGGTTGCAAGGCAATAAGGTGGCATGGTCTGGGAGCTGGGAAAATGCTAAAGAGACTGTAAATCCTGGGGCTCAGGTAGTGAAGAGGGCAAAGTAATTGTTTCTCTCTCCTGAGAATGCTCATATTTCACTGTACTTTTTCTTTGTTCCTAGGTGGGTTGGGAAGCCGAAATAATAAATGCTGCTCTGAAGGAAAGGGGTGGAAATATTTAATCTGAAAAATTTTAATGGGAAAAAAAATGAGAGCAGTACAAGATTTCATCACTCTTAAATGGAGGAAGGGAGAGGAAGGTGAATTTCCCTGAGGAGGAAACCCATGTGGACATTTGTAGCTGAGGATCTCCTTTGGACTCAGCATTTTCTGAAGCTGGTGGCCCAGAGCCAAGGCTGTCTGGCTGCCACTATACCCAGGGATGGAGCTGGTTTAAACAGCACTTTGATGTGATGGATCATTTACTTAAATTTTCATCATTTCAAAGTGGACCAAACCCCATGAAGTCTCCCCTTTAATGTCCACATCTTTCTGTTCCTCCTCACAGCTGCCTGAGCATCCAACACTCCCACCCCATCCTAAACACCAGCTCCATGTCCTCACAGCAGCCCCCTGGCTTCCCTTGGTGGCTTACTGCACTTGCCTCAGCCCCAGTTCAGGTTTGGATGAGTCCTAAAGAACTTCATGTGCACCAGAAAGCCAATTAGGTGGCTAACCCTAACCCTAACCCTAACCCTAATTAGGTGTGTGTGTAATGTTCAGTGGAACCTGCAACCCTCTACTTTGGGAAGTCAGGGAGACTTCTTGAATGATTGTAAGTCTCTTATCTACTTCTGTGCTGTCAGTCTTTGTCACAGCACACATTATGAACCAGCAGGAAAGATGCAGTAGGTCCTTTCCTGTCAGGCTGCACATGGCCAAGATGCATGATAGATACAGCAAGTCCTCATGTTAATCCAGCCTGAATCAGATAACCTCATTGCACGGTTGCATCCTTATCTTGCTACTACCTGGGAAGATAGCATTCAGAGGTGGGGAGGGGTCTTGTTTTCTCCAGTATTGCCAATTTTTTCTGTTCCCACTAGCCTCTTGACACTGGCTGTGCTTTTCTGCTCCCTTGCCTTGCTGAAATAACATCCTACTCCCTCCCACCCCCTCTGCTCCCGCAGGATCTCCCCACCACCACCGCTGCCGGCAGCATGGAAAGCGTGCGTGAGCTCCAAAACCCGCTCTTGGCCAAATCCAATGGCCACCTTCGCAGCAGCTATTCTTACCACCAGCATCACAGCCAGGACTACCCCAGTCATCGCTGCCAAGGGAAACTGTATTCCTACATATTCCAAAACACTGGTGGTGCCAGGACTCACCAGCTGCTGGATGCCAGTTCCCTGCAGCTGGCTGTTGAAGCTTTGTACGGCCCCAGTTTCATCCTTGTGAAGGATGAGACTGCTCTCAAGGCTAAGGACAGCAAGATGGAAAGCTGCGAGACCACTTTTACAGAAAGCAAAGAGTCTTCATCTGAAGCTCCTGAAGGACAAGAGGCACAAGGGTCCTGCCTGGTAGAGAGTGATATCCGTATCCAAACTGTTTCCTATGAGGTCGAGGAAGAGGAGCTCCAGGAGTATGAGGTGAGCTTGGACAGGTAGGATAGCACTAAACTCTGTGGTTATTCTTTCTGGACATTGGCTGAAATTCTTGATAATTTATTCTCCCTTTTTAACCCAGAACTCCCCCCTACCCCAATCCTACCATCTCCTGCCTCACCAGCCTCCCTGTGCACTCAATATTTCTTCTTCCTCCTTATTGCTTCTGCTCCTTTTTCCTCACTGCTGACCTTACAAAGAGGTCAGCTTCCCTAAGAGAAGCCTGGCTGCCAGCTGCTGAGAACAAAAGGGAGATGGGTCTCTGCAAGACCCTTGGGAAATGGGAATGCTTTGAGAAGGGCAGCCTGCCGTTGCTGTGGCACTCAAGCTAAAAAGAAACAGCAATTCTTGCATAACAGCAAAATTCACATGCCTGATGGCAGCAGCTGAGAAAAAGCTTTATATATATATATAAAGACAGGATGAATCCTGCACAGGAAGAATGAGAGCTGACAAAGCAGCCTCGTTGCTGTCCTGTGCTCCTCTATGGCTTGAAGTGGTGCCAAGGCTGGGAAACATCATCCAGGATCTTGAGAGGTGGGAGAGGGTCCCAGAGCTCACTGGAGCTGATGCCTGATGGCCCAGCACAGCTCTGCTTCTTTTGGTGTTGGTGATGTAGCCTGTTCAGATGGCAGCAGGGATGTCCCGACCTCTGTGTCCCTTCCCCACCAAGACACGTCACTTGCAGGGTGGTCTGAGGCTGGCCCAGCGGTGCCCAAAGGCGAGAGGGCTCAGCACAGCCACTGAGCAGTGGCTCACTAAGGGGACAGGGCATGCTGCCCCTGCAGTGGAGGCTCCAATTCAAATGTTTTCCCTCACTTCCTAAATTAGTTTAGCAAGATATTGATCTCCTAGACTCTAATGGGGATAAGTCATTCTGTTTAAGTTTGGTTAAGCTGACAAACAGTCAGTTCTGCCAAAGCTGAAGATATTTCAGTTTAAGACTCTTTCTAATGCAGGGAAATCCCAGACCCCCAGCATTTGCTCTGGCAGGGAGCCAAGAATCCAATTTGCTGAGCTACGTTGTTCCTCATCAAACCATACTGAAGAGTCTAAAATATTTTTGAAATTTACTCCTTGAATTTGCCAGTGGGAATTGTATGAGAACATGTGACGGGACCAGGAGAGAGTGGGAGCTGGGAGGCGAGGTGCTGAGATGCAGCCTGCAGAGCGGCACGGGGAGGTGGGCATGTGCTGAATCCATCTGGTTTTGCAGAGCGACTCCTCCAGCGACAGCGAAAGCGAGGATCATTTCCTGATGCTTCCCCCCCGGGACCACTTGGGCTTGGCCCTTTTCTCCATGCTGTGTTGCTTCTGGCCCCTGGGGATTGCTGCCTTCTACTTCTCCCAAGGGGTAAGGAATCCCTTTGCTTTCTTGCATGTGCCAAGTGCTACAGCAGAGGCCCTGAAAGCCTCAGCAGCCCATGGAGGTGACCAACACCTTTCTGAATCTAAGGCTCATCTCTGTGCCATGGCCGTAACTCTGAGGGTTGAGACAAAGGGTGCTCCTGGATGTCTCCACAATTGTTGTGGGGTTGGAATTCCTCCAGTTCTGGTGTGGATTACTGGAGGCCAGGCTTTTCCTTTGAGTTTTCTGTCTGTTATTTAGGGAACTGGGGGGCTCCTCTTAGCCCAGCTTCTCACCTTCCAGCCAGGTTCAGGAAAATGGCATTTTCCCACCTGTCCTCCCATTCGCCATGTGAAGTTATGTGAAGGTTCTACACTATGACCCAGACTGAGGCAGGTCATGCCACAGGAGCCAGGCTGCTCTGGAGGCTGGACATAAAGGGGAGCTTGGTGTCCATATCACACTACAGCTCCTCTCTTGCACTTGTTTCTGATGCACATTGGAGCTCACAAGAGCTGCTGCATCCCTGAGGGCTTGGCCTGGAGCCTGGGCTCGCTTATATCACTGTTGACCCAGAATAATTCATGAAGAGGCAGAGGAGTTACTCCACATTTGCATAGATGCTGCTGTACCAAGAATAGATGAGGGGAGCCATTAAGAAGTTAAATCAAGAGGGTAGGAACAGAGGTGGAAAAATATATGAGTTCCTGGCACAGAGTTAGTGAGAGGCAGGGGAAGCATTAATTGATTAGGACCCCAAGGAGTTGATTTCACATTTTTCCACATAGTGCAAGATAGCACAGTGTACTCGCCACGTGGTGATGTAGGTGGGGCAATTTATATCTAGCTCCATTTTTTATAACTACCCCCTTTGTTCACTCACTGAGGCAAGGACCGTATCTTTGTTTGGTGTCTTTGCACATTGAGTGCATTGATACCCACCTGGCAACTTGAACTCAAGTAGTAGGTAATAAGAAATATTGGAATATGCCCCAAGCACTCAGAGAAGCTGGAAGTTGCCATCTTTTTCCAGAGAGATGACGATCTGTCTCCACTTCTGGTTTCATCAGTCCTTCAAGAGCAAATAGGCTTCAGCTAAAAACCCCATGGAGGAAAAATCAGGTGGCAGCACAGCTGGACCAACAGACCATAACATCAAAAGTCAGCTCCCCGAGCCTAGGCAGCTCTCGTTACATTTCTGTATAGGATGCACTGATATCTGGTCAGTACCACAGCCATCACCCCATGCACTGAGGTCTTAAAAGAGTCCAGCCACCCACTCACAGCTCTGGCTGTGTGCCCAGATGGGTGCTTTCAGACAAGTAGCTGAAGCCGGTGTTTCCCTTGGAGGCAAAATCCACAGGGAGATGTGTGCAGGTGGCACTGCTGTTCTGAGCCCTCCCAGACTGACAGACACCTTGCTGTCTGTTCCCAGCCTCCATGGGGCGCAGTGGCCAGAAGCACTGACTCAGCAATGAAACAACTGCATGCTGGTTAAAGGCCAGGTTGGTACAGCTGTGAGCAACAAGCATTTCTTCTCCTTCCAGACCAGCAAGGCTGTCTCCAAAGGAGATTTTCATCTGGCCAGTTCAGCTTCCCGCCGAGCTCTCTTCCTTGCCGCGCTCTCCATAACCATTGGCACAGGAGTGTACATCGGGGTGGTGGTAGCACTGATTGCTTATCTCTCGAAAGGGGGCCACGTGTAGCTGCCACCTGCATGTCACTGCCATCCCTGGCCGCTGACCCTTCTGGGACTGAGCTTTCCTGTGGAGCACAGAGCACCAGTGCCTGCGAGGGCTGCTTGCACAGCAGGGCCCCAGCATGGATGTCCTGTGCAGGTTTCTTGCTCTTTCAGACAAACAGTAGACCCCTGTTCTCCCTGAGGCTGTGATATGCGACCATCTAACAACAGGGAATTGAGCACCAGCCTAGCTGCTGGGAAAAGGAGGAGCACATTTGCCTGGTGGAAGATGTGCAGGAGAGAAACCACACACTGCTGCTGGGCTGGTGCAACCACCCTAATCTGGGGCTACAGCTTCCCTTCTCAGCTCCACAGCTGGGAGATCCATCACTTGCCCAGGCTTGGCCCATGAAGGTACACACAGAGAGAAGAGGGGATATGGTGCCAGGGAATGACTGCTGCTGCTTCTGGGAGGCCAGAGTCCTGGTGGGGTCTCCAGACTCCTGTGATGGGGAGAACATTCTCACTTCAATGCCATGGGGTGGCCTGACCCCTCAGCTGCAGTGAAGTAGGAGGACAAAGCACAGATAAGACTAACAAGCATGCTTTCTGCATCCTGCTGCAGACAGACCCCTGATCCACAGGAGAACATCCCAGTTGCTGGTCTATCCCCAGTCAGAAACACAAGAGGAAGACAGGCTGGTGGCTGCACACCATCTCTCCCATTGTTGGTGCAAGCTGGTAGAGACAGCAAGGTTTTCTCTGTGCTAATAGTGACTGCCATGCTGATCCCAAGTCAGAGCCCTCATAAGGTTGCTGTCCCAGAGTGCTGGGTCCTCAAAAGTTTTGTAATGGAATCTCTACCTAAGAAGTGTCCTGGGAGGGGTGCTGGCCTTGAAGGATTCCACTCCTTGTGTTAGGTCAGGGCCCTGCACACAAAGAGGGATGGAAAGAAAAGGCTGACAAAACCTGCAGAATCTGGGTGGGAGTGCTGTTTGTGAGGGGACGAGATCCAGAGAAGGAAGAGACGTGGAAGGAGCCTGAGACACAGGATGACCTCAACACACTCCTTCCCACCTTGGAGAGAGGTATCTCCATTCATCCAAAAGCCTCTGGTAACAAGGAAATAACAAGCACCACCCTCCACCCCCCCCCCCCCAATACATCTTACTTTTGCTTATTTGTATATTTTCAGCAACACATTAAATGCTTCAGAAGTCGGTATGAAGGAATGGTTGCCCCAAAGGGCTGGCGTTAAGAAGCCATGCCTCACCCCCCACTCTCTAGCATCTGCCTTTGACCATCCCTCCTCTCTCTGGCTCTCCTGTTGCCTCTTTTCCCCACGTGCAGGAGACTGCAGGCAGACTCTGGGCATCCCTCACCCCCTTCCCAGAGTTTCTGGGCAGGCTGCAGCCAGCTTTACAAGAGATGCAGCATGTTCCTCCAGCTGGGTGCCATTCAAATGTACATTTCATCCTAAAGAAGCATGTTAATGTCTGCAATTGCTATTGTACTTGAGCCATAAAAGAGAGAAGCGCATCAGAGACCTCTACAGAAGCTGGTCTGGAAGTTCCCATTATGTTTTTTAACATGGAAGAACTAATAAAAAAAGCAGGAGAAAAGACTCTGTTTATAATAATGTGGAGCTGGCTATCAAAGAGGTGAGCTTCACAAGAGTGCTGCAGTCACTTAAACCTGGAGGTGTTTATCCTGTTCCTAAAGGAAGTTATAATCTATCTGGTGTCTGGATATCTTGGAGGGAGGTGTATTTCAGCATAGATCACAGTGGGCAAATACCACCCAGAGCAGGATGGTGGTGTGGGGTTTTTTTTTCCCCCTGTGTAGATGGACAAGAATTAGGGAGAGAGACTGGAGCATCTGTGTATAGTAGAAGCATAAAATCTGCTTGAAGAGGGGCAGAAAAATACAAATATGAGGAGGAAGTAAGCAGATCTTGCTTCTGATGGTGGACAGAGAGGCAGAATTTGCAGGGAAGGGCTGGCATGTCCAAAAGAGATGAGGTGGCCTTCGAGAAGAGTAATAAGGGGCAGACTCAACTGGCATGCATGTGATGGTTTTCATTCCCCTCTCCTGCATGTACTCAGCCTTCCTGGATGCCCAATCCCTCCAAATAACCAAGAAAGAGTATTATTTCATGAGAGATGTCTGTGGGTGCATTTGCAGCAGGAGTGACCAGCCCCACCACCCCCAGCTCAGTGCTGTCCCAGCTAAAGCCCTCCCCTTCAAGTACCCCAGAATCAGCAGGGGTGGAGGATCCCTGCTGATTCTGGTCAAGACAAAATTATTTGGGCTGCCAGACCAGAATCTACAATAAGATACAGCATTTGCTTCTGAATTTGTAATTCTTCCAGCTGGTTCCCTCCAGGGGCTTCCAAGGGTGGGGGGGTCCAGCAGTCTTCAGTCCAGTTCCCATGGGCATTCCATCCTTCTGAACCCCTAACTGCTTCTTTGTCTTTTTTAAATTGGAGATGTGTGGGGAAGGAGTGGGCTAAAGGGCCAACAGAATTAGAGTCTTTTCTGCTAATAGCCTGAATCTCTGATGAACTTGTCAAAGCGGGGGAGAAGGGGCTGTGCCAGAGCATCCCTAAGGGGGGCATTATGCAAATGCAGAAATTAGTTGGAAACAGCCTGAAGGGAAACACGTGGAAATTTAAATCCAATGAAGAGCATGATCACTGCTGAATAACTTATTATAGACTCAGAGTGTCTGCTGTAGCTGCCTAAGCAGAAGGGAAGGAAGCAAAAAGGCAACAAGACACAGCAGTCAGGGAAGGTTTAAGCTCCAGAAATTTGATTGAGCTTAAAAAAAATTAAATTAAACTACCAGTGGATGTGATAGAAGTGACTCTTCACCCCCTTCCTCCTGTCCTCCTAGAGAAGGGGTCCCTCTCCCAACCAAGACCCTCAGGTCAGCAGCAGAGCTCTGTAATGGTCCAGATCCCATAGGGGATACTCAGAAATCTGGGGGGAGGGAGGAATAGCCTCAAGTTCTGGCCTGGCAACATGTCTAGCCCAGAAAGGAGAAGGAATGGAGGGAGCCTGGCAGGTCACTGCTGTGAGAGGTGATGCAGAGGGCAGAAAGTGCAAAGATGATCTTTGTGTAGAGGGGCAGTGACAAAGAGATCTCTCGTGGCAGATGAGGGAGACTTTGGAGTCTCTTGAGATGAGGGTGGAGGAGGGTTGGTAAAACAGTGATGTCCTGTAACCACAACCTGCTGTCCTTCTCTGCATCCCAAAGCTTTATAAAAAATAACCACAAGTGATACTGAAGAGTTCGATGACATGGCAGAACAACTCCTTCTCCATTCATGATTGGGACATCTGTTTGTAACCAAGTTCCCCACCAGATGGCTGCAGGTGCCTGTCCCTGTGAACACATGTACTGTCTGGCACCCTCAGCACAGGTCTTTCAATTCCCTGGCCTCAGCAACCCTCTACCATCACCCTCCTCCCTACTGCTCCCCAAATGCCCATGCCCCGACTCAGTTGCCCCACCAGTACTACCAGCCTTCATCCTAAGCCAGTGACACTGAGCGACAAACATGGACAGTGATCAGAAAGCCCATTCCCTGCCCCCTTCCCCAAATCTGTGCACAAACATCCCTCTCTTGTTTCACACACTCTGTGTGGCCTTTGGCTTGCCAGAAGTGCCATGACCAGGTGTCCCAGGTGCCCTCCTTGCTGTGAGGACAAGAACCTGGGGACCAAGCCAGGCCCACTACCTGGACTGATTGAACATCCCCTCCATCCCTCCCCTGCCTTGGAGATGCTCCTTGCTCAGCCAGGAGCTCAGAGCAGCACTGTCTGAGGTGTATTGTGATTTGGTTTCTTTTCACAGCAGTGGAAAATACATTGTCTTCCAGTTGAGCTCCTTTTGTAACCTCCACAGCATCAAGGTGAGCACTTTCTGCGGGCCTTTCTCTTCAGAAGCAGAGAACAGGTTGGATGAAGCCTGTGCCAATGGCAGGGGCGGCCTTTGAATCCTCCCTCCTTCTGGGATGCAGCCAGGAAGAAAGCTGCTGAGGAAAGAAGCACCAGCACCTCAGCACAGCTCTGAGCAATCAATACATCTGCGCTGTCGCCTGCTCTGCTGCCACTGCTCACCCCTCGGCAAGCGCTGTGGTGTGTCAAAACAGTCTCACTGGCTACAAATAGGAGCTGGGAAGTACTGATGGGGGATGCTGGGATGGGGCTATGCTGGATCTCACTCCTCTTCCCACAGGGATGAGGTGAGAGGATGGTGAAGGGGGAAAAAACTGGTGTGGTTTGTGGGACACTGTCCCCAGCCAATGGGATCCACTAGGACACTGGTCCTCCCACACACCCCCAGCCAACCTGCCCCTCCTTGGGGTCAGCCCTAAGGTGGTTGATGTGGAAACTATTAGAACAGGATATGGGGTGTCCTTCCTGCTGCACTCCCGGCACCCTCACTCCCTGGGAGGACAAAGCCCCTTGCAGAGGCAAAGCCACCATCTGCTCTTCTCACCATCACCCATCAGTGGGGTGGGATTGCAACCATGCTGGTGGAATGGAAATGCCTTTATTTCACTCCCATCTCTCATCTGGAGGATGGGGAGAAAAGAGACACAGGGAAATAAAAGCAGAGAGGGTCCCTGGGCTCACTTAATAGCATAGTGAGTGTCTTTCCTTCACAGCAATCCAGTAAGGAAATAGCTAATTATCTGAGACAGGGAAAATTTTTATTTCTGTCAAAAAAATCCCCTTTAAAAATCATGTAGCAGTGCATCTCTTCACCTAGTTTATCTTTTCACTCTTTGCTCCCCAAAAACAGTCTGCCGTGGAGAGAGCATGGGGAGGCACAGCCTGTGGCAATTCCCTCTCTCCTGGGGCTGTGGGAGAGAATTTTTGCAGAGAGAAGCCAATTAAGAGCTATTGCTCAGGCAGGCATCAGCTGCTGGGAAATCAGGAGCTTCATTACCTCTGCTCTCACCGCACACACAGGCACCAGCTCACTCTTCCACAGACTCCAGTAGCCACACGTGCTGGAACACACTGCTGGGATCAAGCTGTCCCCATGGGGCAAGAGGACAAGTGCTGTCAAGAGGGGACAGAGCACTAGGTGGGGGCACCTTCCTGAGGACAAGGCATATGCTGTCTCCATGGTCACTGGTGAGTGACAGGGCTTGCTGTGATGTTTCTGGAGGGCTTTGTTAGTGAGGGTGACACAGGAGGGTATTGGCACCACCCTCCACTGCTCATCTATCCCTTGTGGTGCCAAGGGACTGCAACCAATACAGTCCCCTCCCCACTGTTCCACTCCATGTCCTGGTGGTGTCCAGGCACAGAGACGTTTGGGGACCACATCTGCAGGTGTGCTGCTTTTCTGAGCTGACCCTGGTTTTGCCCTAGTTGATGTCTGGGCTGGATCTCAGAAGCAAGGAAGGCCTTTGCAGATGGACCACAAATGCCCCTTAGTAGATGTATGTTGAAGATGCAATTTAAATATTCTCATTGATGGTACTTCAGAAGGTTTGGAGACTCAAGACTAACAAGTGTCAGAAGCACCCAACTTAGGAGCTCCTAGGCCAGAGTCTGTGTCTTCCCATCCAAAATCAGCAGGATTGCCCCTGAGCAGAGAAGCTGGTGCTGCCCCTCCAGCTATGCCAGAGAGTGGAATGGGGATAGGGATGGGGGCAACAGTGGGAGAGCCTCTCTTCTCCTCCCCACCTGGCCCCACTCCTGCTCAGGAGCTTTTCTGGCTGCAGGGCTGTGCTCAACTTGCTCCCATCCTCTGAAGGTTTTCCAGCAGAAATGCCCCTGCTCTGCAACCCATTTACTTTTGGAGACACAACGCTTAACCAGTTTTTAATCCTTTCAGCATTTGCTGACTTCATTTTTAAATAAATCTTATTGCTTAATCAAAGTGTCAGGCAGGATCAATCCCCGTTTCTCACAGAAGTCAGAGTGCTGCCTTCTCCTGGCACAGAGAGCTGAGGGACAGCCCAGTGGGCAAATGGTCCTTCCAGCCACCCAGGCAGGCTCCCTGCCCAGACTCACCCAGTTATGGAAGTGCCTTGAAGATATAACTTTATTCTCAAGCACCTGAGTGTGGCAGGAGTGTCCATCCTGCCACAGCTCTCCTACCTTTCCCAGCACTACAGTTACTGAAGTGATGGCAAAGGGATGGGGAAATCAATAAAGGAATATGTCAGGGGAGGAGAAATGAAATGCAAATGTAAATGCAGTATCTGCGGAAATGCCAGCCTCAAAATACTATATCAAAGTCTAGGCATAGGCACCAAACTCTTGACAGTATTAGGCTAGAAAAAGGAAAGTTTGCTTCCTAAAGTGCTTTCATACTTGAGTACTTTCTCCAAAAGTGCAGTATTTTCCAAATGTTGACTGTGCTAAAAGAGCCTTACACATCAGTGTACTTGTTTTCTAGAAGAGGAAAGGCTGGGAACACTGCATCTGGAACTTGGCCAAACTGCTGGGGTGGAACCACAACCGGGTTCAGGTTATCAGGTGGGGGCCAGTCCAAGAAAGCTAAGACAGGTTATTAATGGGGTGTTGATATTTTAGAAGATCAGTTGGGCTGGAGGACAAAATCCTTGAGCCTCTATATGAGGACTGATCTTCC